AAAATTTAAAAAAAGGAAGGTTGGAATCCATCAGTGTTCTATTAGTCATCTTCTCCTTCATCCTCCTGAAAGAAAAAGTGGGCAGTTAATCTTCACAATTAATGCTGAGACTTGCTTTCATATGGACCACAATGGACCCCACAGAACATATGCCCTGGGGGCACTCCAGTTTCTAAACCTGTAAGTCAGCTGCATCCGTTCGAAGGAAACACCCGTGTTGATGTTGCTTATTAGTAACTTTTCAGTTCTAACCAAATCAGGCACATTTCAGATCAAATAATCCAAAATAAAACCAACCTATCCTAATTCGACTATTCAGGAATTGTACAGTTTGTCGAAAATATGTGAAGCTTTATTATTTCAGAGATGTCAGAATTTGACCAGCTACACTGCCTATATTGCTTAAGTACTGGCTAGAGAAAAACAAGCTTGGGTGGTCATAAGACTAACCAAAAAAAAAAAAAAAAAAACAAAGAAAACCCAACTAGTTAAATATTAGTACCACGTGCTTATCAAACATTTCCTTAATTCTTGAACAACAAAATGGCTTATTTTTTCCACAATCAGTTCTGGTCAGTTCTACCACACTATATATACAACCCCCAAAATAACATGAATTCTTTAAAGGTTATCTTTGCGGGGTTAGCCAACTTTTCTTTTACCTCTCCTTCCTCCCCTTCATCATCATCTTCATCTTCTTCACCTTCATCCTCATCCCCTTCTTCATCAATATCTTCTAATCCTTCCTCCTCTTCATCATCATCATCATCTTCTTCTCCTTCTCCTTCTTCATCATCCATATCAGGAACCTTAAAAAAACACCACCACAGTGTAAGGACTCGTAAGGACTCATTTTTAAACTGAGACAAGTCCAACTTTGAATAAATGAGTATTTCAACTCACCAAGTAGTACTGTAATGGGTTTGGCCAAATATCATCTTTGATGACCTCTCCTAACTCATCAGCACCTGCATCAGAATGGTCAGTAAACCAGGTAAAGAAGCTCTCTGGTTCCTCATGCTGCCTCTTCCTGCTGGCTTTATTCTGCGTTTGACTTGAACGTTTCGTCAAATCCTAAATGAATACCGGAAGAGCTTTTGATATAATCTCTCTATAACACCAAAACTCCCTATAATTTAAAAAGTAAGATTTTCCCCAAAAGCTCAGCAAAAAAAAAAAAAAAGCAGTATACTATATACACTATTATTATTACCTAAGAGCAATTACAAAACTGTACAGCAGGTAAAAATAGTATCAACTAAATTTGGTTTTCCATAAAATTTGTTCCACTGTAACAGCTACTAGCACAACACAGCTCAAATATCTAAATTATGTCTTACTACCTAAATACGGATGTAAATGATTTTGAGAAATGGCAAGCCATTTGAAGAGCTCAGTCACCATTGCAGAAAAAACAACAACAAAAAATTTAGTCCAGTTCTCTCTCTTTTTTTTTTTTAAAAACCGCAGTCTTGCTCCGTTCCCCAGGCTGGAGTGCAGTGGCACAATCTCAGCTCACTGCAAGCTCCGCCTCCTGGGTTCACACCATTCTCCTGCCTCAGCCTCCTGAGTTGCTGGGACTACAGGTGCCCTCCACCACGCCCACCTACTTTTTTGTACTTTTAGTAGAGACCATGTTTCACCTTGTTAGCCAGGATGGTCTCTATCTCCTGACCTCGTGATCTGCCCACTTAAGCCTCCTAAAGTGCTGGGATTCTAGGCATGAGTCACCACGCCCAGCCCCAGTTCTCAATTCTTAAACTTGGGCTAGATTTTCTTTTTTGTTGTTTTTTTTTTTTTGAAGATAAGGGTCTATGTTGCCCAGGGTAAACTCCTAGGCTCAAGAGATCTTCCTGCCTACATCTGTAACATCTAATGAGAACTTAAGCTATTCTAATATTTGGCTTCAGCACACTGGAACGTTTTATATTTTAAGGTTTTCTATTTAGCCACATTACCAATGTATCAAGCACTTGTAAGCGGTTAAAACTAAAGTGAAATAGGTAAAATGCTATTTTTGTCAAGTAATTCCTCAAAGCATACCTTTCCAGATTTCCATTTGATTTCGGTGGACTTTGAAGATGGATCACCACTCTCATTCAGATGAAATTCTTTGGAGAGAACTTTATTTTCAAAGTAAGGATTTTCATCAAAATACTGAAATTGAAAGAGTAGAAATATGAACAGGTCCAACCAAAGCTCACATTAAACTCCACAGTGGCAAACAAGATTAAGTCAGAGATACTTACAAAATCTATTCTGTAACCTGATTTAATATCTTCAAATTCTGTCACTTCAACTCTGGTCAAATAATGCAGTGCCTCTTCGTCTTCCTCCCCAAGCAGTGCAGACACTAGGCCAGAAAATTACAGGTCAGTTGAATTTTCAACAGGCATACACTAACAACAATTTAACTGATCCCTTTAAAATTTCTCCAAACTTAGAATCTTTGGTTTTATAAACCCGTTATTAACTAAAGGCAATTGCTCAATGTCAGACTGTCACTATCTTTCATCAAGCAATTAGAATATAGCTTCTCCTATACAGAATAGAAAGCAGTAGCTGCAAGTCTTTTCCCATCTTCTGAGTTTTTTTTTTTTGAGACACTGTCTGGCTCTTGTCGCCCGGGCTGGAGTGCAATGGTGCACAATCTCGGCTCACTGCAACCTCCCCCTCCTGGGTTCAAGCGATTCTCCTGCCTCAGCCTCCCAAGTATCGAGTAGCTGGGATTACAGGTGTGCGCTACCACGCCCAGCATATTTTTTTGTATTTTTAGTAGAGACAGGGTTTCACCGTGTTGGCCAAGCTGGTTTCCAACCTGACCTCAAATGATCCGCCCACCTCAGCCTCCCAAAGTGCTGGGATTACAGGTGTGAGCCACTGCACCCAGCCTGTCTTTGTTGCATGCGACCCAACATGTTGGACTAAGTCTTCACCAAGCTTCCTCCATTCTAAGAAACACCATTTATCCTTTAATAATGCCCTGTCCAAAACGTACCTTGTGGATGGTTGACAAATGTTGTTACCCAAAAATTTGGGATTTTGGCGATCAATTCTGACCTCTTCTGAAAAAATGGTTGGCGGAGTTTGTTATATTTCTGTTCTACTTTCAAAATCTCCTCACTGGCTTGTTCATTAAGTCTGAAGCAAATGAAAAGAGATGTTGATAATGATAGTATTTAACAAATTAAAAAATTGCTTCAGATTACAGATGTGTATATTTACTTACTAGCTTTGGAACCATGCAAAATACTAAATTACAATAACCATTATCACCTAGTTGAAACACTCAAATCAAAACTAAGATGGCAATTTTGTCTGATTTATCAATAAACACTCAGTAATAACGACTATTAAGAGTGCCCAAACTCAACACTCTGGTAACATTGCGTGTATTTACTTCACCCATTCTATTTCCAGTCCCATTTCAATTGTTTCCCTCAAGCACAATTTCTAAATAAAGTCGCTAATTCCGTAACAAAGTTGTAAGGCAAGTTAGAGCAACCACTGATGCCACACTGCTAAACCATCAGAAGACCTACAATGCAATTCAGACCTACACTGCAATTTTTAGTCTTTGAAAGCAAACCTAAACCTTGTAAGGTCAATGTACTTTCAAACACTTTGTACAATCACTTCACCAAAAAACACTGAATCTACGTAAGTATTTCCAACCAAGTTAGAATCATTTCCCCTTTGACAGTGGATAGATCTGACCACAGCTTCAATGATTACCGGGCCATTAGACACATCTCAGAAAATTTATCCAAAGTATATTAAGAAAAATGTTACCTGTCTATTTCATTTTGTACTTCATCAATGTGTTCAATTGCTTCTTGCTGTTCTTTTTCTGCAAAAAAAAGGAGCAAAAAACTTAAATTCTACAATAAATTTACCTAGTTTTCCAGATGTCAATACTGTAATATTCCAAAAGCCATTAAAACAAAAACGCCTACTACAAAGGTAAGTGTTCCACATGTTCATGCTTGTAGCTGACAAATTTCTATTTAATTAAAAGACCATTCACAAGTCATGCTGTCTGCTGGGTTACTCAGAAATTGGTTTTCTATAGCGCCTTTTTAAAGAGTTTCACTACAACAGACCGATCCTTAAGGTTTCTACTATGAAAGATACAGAATAACCTTATTCAGAAGTCTTCACGTTTATTATTTCACATTATACACTTGCAAAAGAACAGTAGCAGCTGCTAACTAGAATATGGAAACTAAAGCCATGACAATGATACAAATTAGGCCACGACTACCACCTATCAAGGTAAAACTACCTTTCATAGAAAGTTGACGACTCTGCTATTACAATGAAGACACCAGACACGCCTACAAAGACTGGAAAGGCATCGGGCACCATCCTACACACTGGCCCTCACCTTCTCAGAGCAGGAACCCCTCCAACCCAATTCAGGCGGGCGGACCTCAGATACGGCCCCACACGACTTTGGAGCACTTACTGGGAGCAAATATTAGATCAGAAAGCAGTGAGGCACAGAAGGGAGAGGAAAAAAAGGGGGTGTGCTCTGGAATAGGTGCCCTTTTGTCCTGTAAAGACTACAACCCCCCTACAAAGCTAAGTGGGTGTGAAGGGGCCAGATCGCGCGGTTCATTTCCGGTAACCATCCCGGGATTGGCAGCCCCCCTGCCGAGAGCCTCCTTGGCAGAGGCCAGCTTTCTTAGCCATTTCCAAGACCCCCGATACACTGGTCGCGGCGCCAGGTTTCTCCGCACGCTGGTGCGACGGGGCGGCCGCC